CACTTGAATTTCCTGTCGTTTTCTGTTGTCTGGTCACCTCAGGAAGGTATGTGGTGGAAGAACTATTACTCCCTGTTAATAACACTCGAGGTGTTCACGTAGCTTCCATAGGGCCAACATTCGTCTGGCCTTCCATAAGTGTGTCATTGTGCAAAATCCAGTGTACTTAGCAAATACTGCAGCTTCTGAGAATGGGGAGGGGGGGAGCGGGGTTACTACTAAGAGCAGAGACGTTACCGAGAACAAATTCTGGCTTTAATGTCATGTACACTAATACTGACACGTTTCTCAATAAGAGAGAGGAGTTTGAAACACTACTGAAAGTACACCAACCAGATATTTTAGGAGTTGTAGAACTGTTGTACAAGAACAGGAGAATCGACCCAGAGGAATGTGAGTTCAGTATTGCTGGATATGACTCATTTACGAACATTTCTCAAGAAGCTTGCAAGAGGGGTGTGGTTATCTATGCTAGGCAAGACCTTAGAGCCAGCCAGGCGAGGGTACAGGGAGAGGATGTTTTTGAAGAGTCCAAGTGGTGTAAAATTAAATTAAAGGGAGGGGACTTACTTATCGTCGGGTGTATCTACAGATCCCCAAACTGTGGCCCACTAAATCAAAGGAACTTAAGAACCTTAATAAACAACGCAGCAATGCTCAACTCTAGCCACCTCCTTATCATGGGGGACTTTAACTATGGCGACATCGGCTGGAGAAACAAGTCCACCCCGAATGACTTGAATAACCCTACTACTCTTTTTGTAGACACTCTGAGAGAAAATTTTCTGTTCCAACATGTTAGAGACCCGACACATTACAGAGGGGGAGCAAACACCCAAGTCACTTGACCTCATCATAACAAACGAGGAGGGTATGGTGGCCAAACTGGAACACCTTGCCCCAGTTGGCACCAGTTACCATATAGTGTTGTCATTCAGATTTAACTGTTACCTAGTTCAGGATAAGGCCAGGCCAAGGTGCAAATATTACAAGGGAAATTACAATGGAATGAGGGAACAGATGAGGGGTATCAACTGGCCTGATTCATTAAGGTACAAGAACGCAGACACTACGCTGAATATCATAGCTAGTAAAGTGACCCATTTGATCGATAAATATATACCCAAGACCAAACCCAGTGCTTCTAGGAATACGAGGGGACCCCTACACATGAACCATGCTGCGGTCGACAAAATTAAGAAGAAAACCCAGAAATTCAAGACGTGGGTTGGGTCAAACGATGAGCAAGACGGGAGGATGTATGCAAGAGCCAGAAACCAAGGAAAGATAGAGTGTAGAAGGGCTGAAAAGGTGTACCGCTATGCAAAGTCGAAATTGAAAACGCGAGTAGGAGTAACAGACCTGAGGCTGGTGGATGGTAGTTACGCAGATTCTGACCAGGATAAAGCTGAGGCACTGAACAGCTTCTTTTCCTTGGTGTTCACAAGAGAGGATGCAACTAACCTTCCTGCGTTTGAGGACAGACGGTTCGACACAGCACTGACCCACATTGTGTTCACAGAGTATTAAAAAAAAATGTCCAGGCTAAAGGTCCATAAGAGAGTTGTGCAACGAGCTTGCAGAGCCCCTGAAGATCCTGTTTTGTAAAGGCCTGGATGAACAAATGGTCCCCAGTGATTGGAAAGTGGCTTATGTGAGTCCTATCTTCAAGAAGGGCGATCGTCACTCCACGAACAACTATAGACCGGTGAGCCTGACCAGCATAATATGTAAAGTACTTGAGAGTATTATCAGAGATGCCGCAATGGAACATCTAATATGGAACAACCTTGTAAAGGATTGCCAACACGGTTTTATGCCGGGGCGCTCCTGCTTAACACAACTGCTCAAGGTATTGGATATTTGGACCCATATACTGAAACGGGGTGGTAATATCGACAATATTTACCTAGATTTTGCCAAGGCTTTCGACAGTGTACCCCCATGAAACGCTGAAAATCAAACTGGAAGGGTACGGAATTCGGGGAAATGTCCTAGCGTGGATAGAAGACTTTCTACATGACCGCAAGCAGTGTGTGGTGATGAATGGTACGAAATCGTCATCCGTACCTGTCACAAGTGGGGTACCACAGGGCAGTGTATTGGGCCCGCTGTTGTTTGTTTGTTTCATAAATGCCATGCATGACGTTGTACACTCCTCCATACATATGTTTGCCGATGACGCCAAGTTATTTCGGGAAATTAAGAACCAAGCGGACTGTGAAGAGCTGCAGAAGGACCTCTGTGGGCTCCAGGAATGGTCGAAGAAACGGCTGCTGAGATTCAATATCACGAAGTGTAAGAGGATGCACCTGGGGTGTACCAACGGTAAGGAGGCCTATCTTATGTCCCAACGGGATGAAGAAACTGCACTAGTTGAGACGGAATGTGAGAAGGACCTAGCTATGTATGTTGACAATGAGCTGAAGTTCTCGGGTCATTGCGAGAAGAAGGTAAACCAGGCAAATAAATTATTGGGTCTTATAAGAAGGTCGTTCAGATATCTAGAAGGTCCGTCCCTAGTAACGATCTTCAGGAGTGAAGTGCTTCCCCATCTGGAGTACTGTCACTCCGTCTGGTCCCAGAGATATGCTAAGGACTGTCAGTTGGTTGAAAATGTTCAAAGGAGGGCCACCAGACTGGTGCCTGCACTTCGGCACTTCAGCTACCCTGAGAGATTGGAGTGCCTGAACTTGCCTAGCTTATACTACAGACGGGTAAGGGAGGACCTAGTAGAGGTGTATAAGCATCTCAGGGGGCACTACTCAGTCGAGTGTCCTTACTTGGAGCTGGCGGACGCTCGCCCCACAAGGGGTCACAGCTCACGATTGAAGAAGCCGCAAGTCCAGAAAACTGTGAAGGCAAGCTTTTTCGGAGTAAGGGTTATAAACTCTTGGCACAATCTACCAGAGAGTGTTGTGACGGCACCGAGTGTGAGCTCTTTCAAGACAAGACTTGACCAACACTGGAGCGGGTTTAGATACATTCAGGAGCCGGTGCATGCCCAGTATTTGCCAACAATGCGTGACAGAGACGTGACCGATCGCCCGGGCGGCTAGCGAGCCGATCTTTTGGTGAAGAAGATAAATGAAAAGGAAAAGTAATCAGAGACGTGACCGATCGCCCAAGCAGCTAACGAGCCGATCAGTGGCGAAGAGGATAAAAGTATGAGTTGCTGACAGTTTGTGCTCCTCCATTTTTCAGGTCACAGTCTTAGGCCGCACACCATGACAAACTTCAGCACACGCTATCTACAGGGGCAGGTGTGCTACTCACACACACACACACACACACACACACACACAAAGTTTAGGGAAAGTAATCCAAATTGATAGTTGTCACCTTCTGCCTCTAGGTGCGATTTCCTGAAGGCCACACACTACACTACACTACACTACACTACACTACACTACACTACAACTACACTACACTGCACTATACACTGCATTACATATAAACCCCCTTCCCCCCCTCTCTCTCTCTGCAAGTCAACATACTGTATAAAACATTGTTAATTATTATTTATTACTCTGGGGCGCATTACTAATATTCAAAAGACCCCTGTGACTCCTGTCATATCGGAGCAAGTGGTAAGGATTGTGAAACCTGATTTGTTTATACAGGGTACTGAGTATAATGAGTAATCATTTGCCTTGTTTTAGTCTCTGCCAGTTGAATGGGACAGTGTGGACAATAAATGCCTGTTCCACATGAGCGATCCTGGTGTTCGGCAATTTTGACCCTCAATTGCCGTTTGGTTTAACCTACTTACGTCGCTTACAACAATTGTATAAGTAAACAATATAGGACTGTAGATAACCACGAAAGCTCTTGTATCTTTACGTTTTTGTTTCCTTTTGGTAACCTAATAATATGAATTACGTTTCATAATTCTGGGGGTGTATTCATGAGACATACATAAGGAGGATGTGGTACATGTATGATGGCGTCCCAGCTCATTTTGCTCGAGTAAAAATGGAATTACAAAATGTTGGGTATCCTGGCAGGGTGGATAGGGCCCTGTACCATTGGCGCCTCGATTACCTGACCTAAATCTCCTTGACTTCTACTTGTGAGGTTACGTTAGAAGTAAAGTGTATGCTGCAGAGGTCCCGACTCGCGAGGAATTGTTGCGCCGAGTGCAAGACAATGCCACGATCATTCACAACACACCTGGAGTATTCGAGCGTGTACGACATTCACTTTTACGACGGGCTGAAACCTGTATTCAACATGGCAGGAATTTTTTAAATTTAAAGTAAAATCCATATCAGATTGTATATAAATTGTACTAAAAACACTCAATAGATTTTACCACATTCCAACGCCATGGGGTATTGACACAATGATCATGAAGTCATTTACCCTTATGTACTGTATGGCTCAGTAATACACCACCAGAATTATGAAACACATACACATATAAATATATATATATATATATATATATATATATATATATATATATATATATATATATATATATATATATATATATATATATATATATATATATATATATATACAAAGAAAAATAAACATGCTTACAAAAGTATGGTGTACATTCGGTAAAAAGATATCTTTATAATTCTTATGTGAAACAAATTGACACCACGGACGAAGGTTTTTTGATAAAGCCCCATGAAGCATGCTGTTATTCATCAATCATATTACAACGAACTACGTAATTTAAAATTTTGAATGATATAACTAAAATAGGCCTATCATAATAGGTAGGAAATGTCTCACAATCACGCTTACAAGCCCTAGCGAGACAACACGAGTGTTCAGTTCTTAATTCATCTAACCCTTCCTGGAAGATATTTCTTTACACAACCAAAAATGCTGCTGGTTAATGTTTACAGAGGCCAACGTGGTAACATCTGGAGCCAGTTACAGTACAGTACTTCATCTCGTGTTGGTTAAACTTTTACCATGGAAGAGTGATTTTTTTTTGTCATGAGGAGACATATCAAGTACTTGTGCCACTACAGTATCCGTAATAAGTTACTACTTCTTGTTTCAGTATGGCACGGACGTGGTGGTTGGGCGTGGCAGTGATGAGCGTGATGGTTGCAGTAGCTGTAGCCACCATGAAAGATAGGAAGGCGCGTATCGTCTGCTACTTCTCCAACTGGGCCATATACAGACCTGGACTCGGCAGCTACGGCATCAGCGACATCCCTGTCGAAAAGTGTACACACATTGTTTACTCTTTCGTCGGTGTCTCCAATGTAACCTGGGAGATCTTAGTGCTCGATCCTGAGGTGAGAGATCCCTTACTCATGTATATTACTGTAATCATTATTTGTTAATATATATCCAGACTTTAGAACTATTTTGCTAAGTCATGAACACAAGTTTTTAATTAATAATTTATTTATGAACATGAAAATTTTTGTCCTACAAGGGTGAGAAACACTTGGGATGGTCCATATACTGTAAACCTTTTTCTTTCAGTCAGACCAGTATGTTATCCACCTACCATATTCAGCCACCGGTAACTAGTAACAAGAACACATTTTAGCTCTCCGACTTTCTTAGTCCTTCAACGTAGGCTGTGAACACTCACATATCTCCACCAACCTTTTTACATAAACCTACGCTGAGAACCTACATTAATCTCTTTATCTTTGAACCTTCAGTTAGATTTGGACAAGAATGGTTTCCAAAACTTCACGAACCTGGCCAAAGCCAACCCCAACGTGAATTCGATGTTAGCGATAGGAGGGTGGGGAGAAGGTGGCAAGAAGTATTCCCAGATGGTACAGATCCCCGCGCGAAGGACCTCGCTCATCGCCAGCGTCGTTGGTCAGTGATCATTCCAGTTTTCGTTGAAGTTACTATGTATGGGTGTGTGAAGGGGTGATTCAGATGTGTATGGTGGAGGGGGGATATGAGTGCATTTATGAGGGTTGGCTGACAACCTGAATAACACATAAATTCACTCACATCAAAAATAGGCCTTTGCACTGCTCCCATGAATGGTCTGCCTCCCGTCTTGTCTTCATCTACCGAACAATGTAGAGATGTGGTGATCATCTTAAACTTGGACACAAGGGGGAAGGACTTAACCTATGAGCAGAGCCTTCAACACCAGGGAGAAGTTGGGAGCCTTAGTGTTACATTCAATGCTCATTTTTCTCAAGGTTACTTTCACTCTGGGATGACCAGATGTGACTTACCAGTCACAGCGATTTTTTAATTAGTGACAAAACACAGATATTTAAGGACTGCAACAAAACCCTTTCATAAAATTAAATGTTATATAGTTCGATTTTGAAATGAGCTACGGTACAGTTATAGCTCGCAGCTACTAAAATCTAATTAGTATACAAGTACCCACTTTTATCCCTGTATAACTCCTCTTATTTTATTATGTAAGGGGAGTCATTTTCTAATCTTCTCTCCCTGTGTGATACAGAATACATGAACCGCTTCGGATTTGACGGCTTCGACTTGGACTGGGAGTATCCCGGGGCCACCGACCGTGGTGGAACCTACAGTGACAAAGACGCCTTTAGGTGAGTCATTCGGTTTCTTGATGACCTTCAGAGTACCATCACATCACAGATGCAGTCCTGTTATTCTGATGACTTACTTTTTTAAAAATAAGCACGTTAATGCCATATTAGGGTGTGTCATACGGAGGCGAATTTTTTTTTTTGAGTTTGAAAAATTGGCCCATGGTATTAATGATGTAGTTCTATGTGCAGAATCATGTGATATCTTCAGATTTGAAAAGTTTTTATTTTTTGCTAGGTAAATTGTAACTTGAAATCTTATGAAAATTCAGTATTCCCACCCTTTTACCAACACCACTAAATAGCTTATTTAAAGTAAAGTAAATGTATCAGGTTAATTTATTAGGATGAAAATGATCCAGAATAGTGAAAAGAATGATCTTGACACATTTATTAAATTTAATATTCCTTTAGAAAACAAAATCATCAAATACAAAAACCGGTTTTACTACTACGACCCGGTGTTGCTGCACACCATAGAGAACATGTCTTTCTTGCTTCTGTTTCTACTCATCACCTCCCTGCTGACCACCTGAGCTCGGATGTAGCCTTCCCTCCTCTCCTGGCTGTACACGTGACTGCTGGCCTCGCTCACTTGCTGTACACAACGCTCTATACTCTGGGTGTGCGAGGGCCAGGCAGGGACATGCATGGGGTTGTCCAGGAAAGCTCTGACTTGAACATTGGTGAGGCTGCAGGTAAGAGGGGGCTCACTGCCAGCCTGGATGTTATCCAGATCTATGAGATCAGTGAGGGTCTTGGCACCTAGATTGACTTCAGGAGTCTTCCTGACCCTGAAGGAATCGTCACCAACTGATTCGTCATGCCCAGATCCTCTCATAAGTCTCATATCCAAGATCTTTTTGACTGCCACTCTTCTCTCCTCCTCATCCTTACTGCAGAGCATTGTCTGCAGAACTGCCTCGGGATGAGCATACCAGGAAGATCTCCTCACAGTCTGCTCCACAATCTGAACAACCTTCCTTGGCTGACTCCTCAGAAGCTCAAGCTGGAAGAGAATATGCCTCGGACCTTCGGAGAACGATGACTTGACTTTGGTGTTGAACCAATTTGGCAAGTAGACACTCACGATGAATTGGACAATAAGTCTCAGGTTGTGAAGCTGGTTCCCTTTCAGTTTATGATGAGCGACCCAAATTCTGCAGAACCTGAGAGCCGTTGTGAGCCACCTAGAATGAGACTGACCTATCTGCAGGTAAGCAAGTCTATCAGCATGACCCCCAGTTTTGATGGCACTGCAAATCATGTAACCATAGTACTGGTCAGTACTCAGGTCAACAATGACAGTATGTGCAAGCTCAACGAGTGGAGGGCCAAACTGTGATTTTTTTCTAAAGCTCGGATTTATTTCTAACTCAGCAGAGTCCAGCATCTTGCCAAGAGGACCAGACCATCTGTTGTTTGAAAGAGTCTTGCCATCCAGCTCCTGGATCAGATGTAAGCCTGAGTGGCACTGTTGGTGTGGAGGTCACAAACAACCAGACCAGTTTCCTCCCAATCTTCCGCTCTATCCACTGTATGACCCTTTGCCACCCTGTGTTCGTGTTGGTGCTGTCCCCTCCAATGGCCTGCAGGGTCTGGTCTACGCTCCTCTCTCTCTGAGCCAGTTCACAATGTTATCTGCCACTATCTCAGCTGGTTTCCTGATGTCATCTTTCTCTGGAGTGAAATGCCACAAATACTTCCCTCCTGGTTCACTGCAGCAGGGGTAGTGTTCCTCCTTCACCATGGCAGGGAACAACTTGTCAGAATCTACAACTTTCATGAACACTTTAGTGTCATCCCTTCTCCCATCAAAGAACAAACAATTGATTCCATTTTCTCTTATCCCCTTATCAAACTCCTCTTCTAGGTTACTGACAAGTTTCTCCTGAGCTCTCCTTACTTTGTTATGATCTATCACCAGGTGAACATCATCAGGTGTTATCAAACCACCGTCAATCCAGGCAGCTGTTGCTATCTCTGCAGTTTCTTTGAGACCAGTGTGGTGTCGCATGCTGGCCAGAGCTATGCTCGGGATATCTTTCCTATTTCGAATCTTATGCCTGGAAGGTTTGGGATCATTATTTTCTGGGTTAGGGACAAAGTCACCATTCTCCTGGTCAGCACTCGGATCAGCCATGGGGAAGTCATTAAACTCTGAATTAGCTTGACTCCAATCATCGGCCTTTTTTACCTCACCCTGGGCCTTCTCAAGTCTCTTTTTTTTTCCTCGGCAACTCTCCTCTTCTGTCTCTCTGTGGCAGCCTTCTGTCTCTTGACCGAATATCTTGGCTAGAAATCATGAGAGCCCCTATACTGCCAGTCTTCTCTGTGCTTTTGACAAATGCCATTTCTGATCACAGGAATCTTCTCAGTTCACGCTTGCAACACAGGAGATGTGGGCCCGGATTTCAGTCACGATCGCATCCAAACTCAGGACAGAGAACAATTGGGCACTTGCAAGTAATTATGTCAAATAACTGGTCCAGTTGCTTGGCAAAGCTGTCCTTAACTGCAAGTTTTTCTCTCCCAAGAGAGATATCTCTTGCCTTTTCCCAACTGGCTAGCAGTCTCTCACTAATCTTCTTCTGACTTGTTATGACTGGAGGCTTGAACTGAGCGTTAGCCAGAGTGTACTGTGCCAAGACAGCTTTGATCATATCACTGGCAATGTCTTTGTTTGTGTAAGTTCTTTGGTTCTTTTCACTGATTTGCCTGATTAAAACACCGTATCTCAAAGCATCTCTCAATGTAGGCAACTCCGACTTCAGGAGCTCTCTCCCAGACCCAAGATAGTGACTGAGATGGCTGGATTTTTGGTTCCTCGTCCTGACACAAGCAGCCATCGCAAATATTATCAACTTATAAATGCATCAGAATTTGAAACAGAAAAAATATTGTTAGTTGGGTTGTTAAAGAATGAAGTCAGAAAGCAATGTTCACTATTTAATTGTAATGCACTAATGCAGCTGTACGTTAAATTTTCGATAAATTTCACGTTAAAATTTACCTAGCAAAAGGTTGCAAAATATTGAAACTGAAATTATTTTCTGTTTATATACACTAAAATCTACCAAAAAAGTGATGGGCCATTAGTTTTAGCTGATCTTCCTTCCTATGACACACCCTAATGCCATATCCTCTGGAGGACTATTTACCATTTAGACAACATGCGGTGTCCAAACTGATCCATTAGCAGTTTTTATTTAAATTGACTGCCGCTTTAAGCGACATATTCTTCAAATAATACTCCAGTGACTACACGCCATCTTCTAGGTAAAACAGATAAAATTTAAGATTAGGGGTCCGTTATTGAGCTTCCAGCGCTGATAAATTTGTCCGCGTATACACCTATTAGGTGTCACAATAGCATACATACTGTACCTTCAGAGACTTCGTGAAGGAACTGAGAGCAGCCTTCGACAAGGAAGGGAAAGGATGGGAGATCTCCATGGCTGTTCCCGTCGCCAAGTTCAGACTTAGCGAGGGTTATCACGTGCAAGAGCTGTGTTAGTGAGTATTAGAATAAAAACAACTCCAGGTGTCTCTTTATGTATCACAAGATGATTGTTTCCACTCCTTGACATGATGGGTACGATCCAAAATCAAGATTCAGATATGTTGGCAGGTAAGGGGTAGCTTAGGCATGTATGAGGTAGCTTAGGCATGTGTGCAGTAGCTTATGCAGGTGTGGAGTAGCTTATGCAGGTGTGAAGCAGCTTAGGCTGGTGTGGGGTAGCTTAGTCAATTGTAGGGTAACTTAGATAAGTGTGGGGTAGCTTCGGAAGGTATGGAGTAGCTTAGGCAGGTGTGAAGTAGCTTATGCAGGTGTGGGGTAGCTTAAGCTAGTGTGGGGTAGCTTAGGCAAGTGTGAGGTAGCTAAGACAGGTGTGGGGTAGCTTAGGCAAGTGTGAGGTAGCTTAGACAGGTGTAGGGTAGCTTAGGCAGGTGTGAAGTAGCTTATACAGGTATGGGATAGTTTAGGCAGGTGTGGGGTAGCTTAAGCAGGTGTGGGGTAGCTTAGATAGGTGTGGGGTAGCTTAAGCAGGTGTGAAGTAGCTTATACAGGTGTGGGGTAGCTTAAGCAGGTGTGGGGTAGCTTAGATAGGTATGGGGTAGCTTAGATAGGTAAGGGGTAGCTTAGACAGGTGTGGGGTAGCTTAGACAGGTGTGGGGTAGCTTAGACAGGTTTGGGGTAGCTTAGACAGGTGTAATTCTGCTAGTTCTGTGTACACCTATTTATGGGTGTACTATTTATTACTTCTGTATTCTATTATTTAGACATCATGATTTTATATTCTATTATTGATTCACCTTTCATCATTTGCATTCGTTTTAACTATCTCCTTTAGGTAAATATGTTATGTACG